TTACATGTTAAAGTCTGAGAAGATTAAGGGGCATCAGAAAATCAAAGCATTTAAGTGTTAAGTTCTGGGAATATTGTCTCAATAGAAATGCTGTTTTGGGAATAGTTTACATATATGACAGAAAGACTTTAAAAGTGAAAAAATGTGGCATGTAACTAACTATCTTGTTGAGTACCTCCGGGCCTGGTCACACAGTAACCCATAAATAGTTTAAATGAGAATATGCCTAACCTTATTATGATAAAACATAGATGGGAATTGGAGTTCTTTTTATGTAAATAACCATTATATAAATAATGGAAAAAACTAGAGCATTAGGATAAATCTAAAAAACACAACACAAAGAAAATATTTAAAAGTAATACCAACATCCACTATGTAAGAATCATTTTAAATGATGCATGTATTTTCAATTTATGAGCTAACTATATTTTTGGTGCAACATTATATTTAAAATAGTAATATGCATTGCAGTAATTATAGTTATAGATACTAATAAAGTCCATCTTCATATTATATCATACTTTCTAGTCTTCCCTTAGTGAAGTATTACTTTTACTCATGTCAATCTAATTGTTTAGAGTTGCAACTCTACACAATATAATTATGTTATCTGAAATGGATGACATTTTTTCTGATTTTCTTTATGTACATTTCTATGTGTCTGCCTATACACATGTATACCCAAACCAAAATTTATTTCTTAAAAATTAAGTATCTTTTAAATGGATGATTATATTAGATAATATCTAAATTTTCCTAATGTTTAGAATATAAACATCCATTTTTGCATATTTCTATTTTCTTCAAATAGACCCATTTATTGTTATTTAGCAACGGAACTAAAATAATCTGTATCACAGTATTTTAGTCCCACTGCTCCTCCACCTGATAATATTGAGGGGAAAATGTATCACATCTATATTGGGATCAGTGAGATAGCTCTAAAAGTCACAACAATGGGTAGAAAAGTCTATAAGAAAGAAATTTTTTTACAGTTGTCAGATTTTAATTTTTGCTTCAGATTTTAAAATCTGTAATAACCTACACAGAGCACCTGTCACAGAGTAGGATAACATTTGAATAAATAGATATTTCAGGAGATCAGTTTGAAGAAGGAAATTTCATTTAAGAACCTCTTTTTAAACACCTAAGGAATAAAGTTTTATTCCACAAATGAATATAAAAAGGCTCACAGAAATGCAATTTTGAAATGAGGTACTTATCATTTTAAGCTGAAAGGATTTAAAACTAAATGATATCTATTCTATGATAGAAAATGTCAGTCAATACCTATCATGAATATATCTTCTTCCATTTAAAAAATCCTACATTTTAAAAAAAAAAAGCTATGTCAAGGCAAATGCTGAATTAAAACACTTCTTGCTGATATAATTTTCTCCCCTGGGAGGGAATTTTCTCTATGAGTAAATCCTATGGGAACCCAACCTTAAATGGTTCAGCTCACACATAGAATTATCAGTTCTTTATGAGAATCAGGATTCTAGCAAAGAATTTCAACATGTGACACAAATTAGCATCTGCAAATAAACCAATGAAAATATCAACCAAGCATTCCTATAGGTCACTAGCAAACTATGGCAAAGATAACCTATTTCACTTTCCAGAATAAATATATCAACTATAAAGGAATAAAGAACAGACCAGTTTTAGGCTCAAATGATACACCCAACATCCCAAGGTGCTACTCATACCTCCGTCTTAGGTCTCCTATTTCAAATGGTTGAAAGGATGGATGGACATAGCATGACATCTAGAAAGAGACTTAGAAGGACTTATCAGAGGGAACATTGTGAGGGGATCTGTACAAGCACACATTTGGAAAAGTTTGGCTTCTTAAAAATTGCCACGACTTGTGCTCTGAGACATCCTTAAGATGTTCTTGAAAACATATGTGAAAGCAAATATTTGTGCAGGGGGCAAAGAAAATCACAAGTAGAAGGAGAAACTAAATGAAAAATAACCTTTCTTGAACATAGCTGAATATTTCAGCTTGCAGATGTTACCAGGATCTCAACAGAGCCCTGGTTTACCATAATTTTGCTTTAAATGTTTTTACGGCTAACAAAAAGCAGTCATCATCATAATGCTGGCAACCTTTCTGAAGGCTGTGGAAAATTGTCTCTTACTATCCTAAAGTCACTGGCAAAGAATAATGCAACCTATAGCCTACAGTATTCAGAGTCAGGGTAGGCACCTAAACATTATTTACACGTTCCCCGAATCTCCCTGTTAAGGTCACCAGGCATCTGAACCATTATGGCTGGATTGTTTTAAAGCTCTCTGTTGAACACCTGCAAACATCAAACAAAAACTGCTGGTCCTTTAAAGCATTGACAAAACCCTTTCATGTGAAAAATGCACCCTGAGAATGTCAGGCCTGTGGCTCAGGTTACACTCGTTTTTCCCCTCTCTGCCTTGCAAGTTCTAAAAGTAGCAAAAAATCACATTTAGCAAATTAAAACTTTAAAGGGAATCCAGGCCTGTTTTATTTTCATTCACACATTACATGCAACACCAGATCACTTTGTATTAAATGAACAGTTTTTAAAAATGCACACATGCAATTTGTTTGCAATATTCTGCTTTATGCTAAAAAATCTCAAGCCAGTTCTTCCCATCCTTTCATCAAATGAGTACCCATTTTAAGAGAGATATAAACAGATCTCCTAAGTAGTCTCTCATCCAACCCTCTAGGTTGCTTCGGATTCTGTACAGAAAACAAGTAAAATCCCAGTTTCAACTGGACACAATGTATTTATTTAGTGCACTTATCCATGGACCAAACTATGACATTAAGCTTCAAGTAATGCTGGGTTTTCTGCAGCAATAAGTGTGTATATTAAAATGACATCATAAGAATACTTCCTACCACTTTATAACAGAACCATATTTCGACTCAGCATAACAATAACGCAACTATAAAGTACTAGGATTCCTCTGCATAGCTCATTTGTCAAAAGCACATTAAGAAACAATAAGATCAGGCAACAAAGTATAGTAAATATAACTTCAGGTCACAAGTTTTCTTTAAGATTTAGCGACAGATTCATAACATATTGCCTTCTATCAATTTGTCTTCCTACTAAATGATTCATTTTAAAAGCTATTCCTTACTGATTAAAAAAAAACCTATGTCATGAAAAGCATTCTGTGTAATCATACAAATCTCTATGGTCTTGACACATTGTTATTACTGATACTTAATCAAGTGAACTAGAACATAAAACTGTTTAGTATATTCTAAAGTTATCTCATTCATGAATAGGAAATCAGTTCATCAAATTCAAGAGCTTACAAGATATATCCAGAACTTTGGCCTTAAGGTGACTTAAGAAAAAAATAGCATGGTTTTGAAATCTTTTCAGTTTAATTTTACTATCTTACTTTGTGCTTTTGTGTTTTCTTCTTCTTTTCAGTTATTTGCATATCAAAGCAAGATGGTTGCAAAAGCATATAATAAAACACTCATTTTTTCCCCTAGATTTCCAAAAGGTTTTTTTCATCCTTTTAAAACGGTTGATAAAATAGTCTCTGAGGAGACTATTAAGCTAAGGCAAATTCCTAAAAATAAGCATCTTGGTAATACTTGTTAGAACAGTAGTTATCTATAGTATTGATTAAATGTAAAATGATTTATCTGGCACAAATAATTTACACTACTTATGTAATGAAAAAATATCATATATATATATATACACACACACACACACACACACACACATTCTTTAAAAGATTGTGCTAGAACAACTGTTTTGTTGTCAGGATATCATGTATTGAAAATGTTATAAAAACATTCAAAATATTTTTAAGGAAAACTATTTAAAATAATTAAATATATACTAAAGTGGGCATTTTATTTCTTATTCATTTGAATTCTTAGTCCAGGCCTGTGAAAACCACTGGGAATTTTGCTATTGAATTTGATAACAGGCTAAAGCCGTACACAGTAACTGATAATGAACTTGTAAAATCTTATCAAAATTTAACATCTGGTTCAGAGATGCTCCTCTCATAAAATTTTGGTCAGTAAGCAGTTATGTGCAATTGCCAAAATGTTGAGTACACCGCAGCTATTTAATTGTAAATATATTAGAAACATATCCGAAGGACAACATTCAGTAATGCAGGAAACACTATAAAATACAATTACTGAAAGAAGAATAGTTCAGATGCATCTTTCACAGAGCTAGCATGACAGAAAATGAATTATTCCCAATACATAAACATATTCTGCATTCCACATTCAATTATTATTATATTCAGAGCTTCCTGCATCAAAAAACCAGACCCTTTCTTTGGGTCACAGAGAAAATAACTATTTGCAATGAATATAACACATTTTTCAACACATACACAGATAATAAACATTTGCATTAATATCAACAGGCTCTTTTTTCTCCCCAAAGCTGTTACGATTATCAAGAAAGTCACTGTAATAGGATTTCAGCTTATAGTCAGAAGTGTTGCCCAGACAGTAGCTAATAGATGGCCAAATTTGTATATGCTAATGCTTAGAACAAATTAGGATGAAAAGAAAAAAAAGAGGATGGATACCAAAATAGAACTATAAAATGGTTATTCCTCTTTGCAAATATGAAAATAATTGCTACCCTGGATTTTGCTTTTGGAACAAAGCGAAATGTATGTTTTAAAAGGTTTTAAATAGATCCTGCAAAATAAATAAATAAATATTTTTTTACGTACACATATATGTGCATGGAATTCTTCTTCCTAAGATACTAAACATTTGGCAATATGAACAATAGAGCACTTCAACTGATCTTGATATAAGTCCTTAATCCAAGCTAAAGTTATGCTCCCCAAACTGATGCCAATTGTACATGTAGGGTAAATATATATATATATATACACACACACATACATACATACATATATACACATACATACACGCACACACACACACACACACACTTTAAGGACACTTCAACTGAATTTCAAACAGAAATTGTACATACTTGAGCCACTAAAGTGTCCACTCGCCAAAGAAGTTGGTCCATTCTTTCCACTGCTGACAGGAGGTGAAAACATCTAAAAGAAAACAAAGAGGTATTATTGTTGGTAAGCAGAATGATTATTTTTTCCTATGTTCAAATTCCATTCAACATTACACAAAAGCTGTCATCGTGATTTTGTTTAAATATGAAATCTCTCTCCCATCACTGCCTTTGCAGCCACACAGTTCTTTAAAAAAGCTATATTCTTTTTTCCCCCCTCTCATGTTAGTTTCACGCATTCCCCAAACAATATAAGATAACGTGGTAGGAGGGACTCCACAACCCCACACACATATCAGCAAACGAAAACCTTCCTAAAAACATTCAAACTGGGGGGAGGATAAAAAGTTTGTCACTGAAACCTTGGTCATAAATGAAGTTATATCCATTTCCCTCCTCTGTTAGGATTTGCCTCTCATAAGTGCCCTGGAAACTTCCACCTGCCCTAAATTTTCACCTCAGTTTTTAGTGCAAGAGCAATTACATTACACTCAAACTCACTCTCGTTCCCTCTCTTCTTCCCCCCCCCACTCTCCTGCGTTTATTTCAACCCTAATTGGTTTTCATCTTCTTCTACGTGTCTAGTAGATAATACACACCTTCTTCCTGAGTCAGAGACTACAAAAAGCAAAGGGAGAAATGAAAAAAAGAACAGTTAGCAAAGTGGGGTCTACCAAACTGCCTCAGGCTATAGTTCCCTGTAGCCAAACTTCTCAAAGCCATGTCTGGAAAGGAAGTCTGAAGGACCACAGCAGAGCTAAACATCTTCCTTCTCTCCCCCCCCCACCTCCTTGGATCCTAATTTCCCCCTCCCACAGTGGAAGTCTTTAAAGAAACAAATGCATCCTATATGAAATTGACTTATCTTGCTTCTCTCCCCCCCCCCCACACCAAACATGAATAAATAATAAAGACTTCTGAAATATTGGAAAGAAAGGGGGAGTGGGAGAGATTAAGAGTGGAGGAGAGAACCGGCTTTTTGGGGGGTGGGAGAACAATCCAAGGGTGCAGGGAATAAGCAGCTACTCAGGATTTGATTAATATTAGGCCTTAGAATCAAGAGAAGTTATTTTAAAAGTCTATAGGTAAAATAAAAAAATGAAAAATCACACACACACACACACACACAAACACACAAACAGAGCTAGCCATCAATGGAGGGAGGGTTGGGGGGGATCCACAGGAAAGTTGCAGCCCATTCACTGATAGCAGAGCAAGGTGAGTTTTCAGTGAAAACTTGAAGCTTAGGCTACTTCTGGATTTCCTTTCACTTTTCAGGTGGCAAAAAATGAAACAAGGGAAGAACTAAAAGTACACTGTAAAGAAACTGATTTACCCATCAGTTAAATGGCATGCCAGCCATTACTTTTAGAAGGCAATGCAGCACGTTAAGTAATAATTCTTATACACAGAAAATAATGAGAAATATCCGGATTTTTTTAATTATATATATATATTTTTTGACAGAGGATGTGGGTTCATTTTGGAGAGGATGTCCAATGCTAAGAACACATCCCAATAAATGGCAGACCTTTAAGTCCATCTCCTTCAGATAAGATCCTAATCAGTAAGTAATAGAGCGTGCATATTTACCATGAATTAAAAACGCTGATTAAAAAAATCACTGTTGTACTTAAAAAAAACTCAGTTTGGCTTTGTTTTGGTTTAGTTTAACAGACTTTTTCTGTGCCTTTTTTTTTTAACAGCTGTTGTTCATTTCCACCGTTGTTTCTTACCGCACTGAAATCCAGTAAATCACTGAGTTCTTTGTCCGTCCCTAAGGCAGCCATTCGCTGTTGGTGATGCATTTTAGCAAAATCACACAAACCTAGAAACATGGAAATAACCGCAATCAGAAACCCAATCCCGAGCCTTGCAGGAAACAACAATCGGATTTTTTTTTCTTCTTTTTTTTTGTTTTTGTTTTCACGAGACTTAGGGAAAGAGGTGGAAAGGGAAGCGAGGGAGGGAGGGGTGTGTGCGGAAAGGCGACAGGCGACAACGAGGAAGAAGTAAGACAAGAAAAGACGAGACCGTAGTTCTAACGAACCGGGCTAAACTCGGTTAGCAGCTACTCTTGACCCCAAAGGCGGGAGCGACACAGAGAGAACAGGAGCCGCGCTGTTCCGCGCACCGTTTAATGCAACAGGAGGTTCAAACAGGAACGAAGAGAAACGTAGTAAGAGTAGCAAACTACAGGCGCCGTTCCCCCAACTTTTATTTTTATTTTTATTTTAATTTCTCGGGCAAGCTCCCTTTTCCCCCCCTTTCCTTTCCACTCCGACGACCGGACGCTTCCCGAGGATTTGATTCAAAGGGCGAGCAACCAAGTCCTTAGAGTAAGCCAAACGCACACTCGGGTCGGTACATGGGGACGGAGGAGGAAAGGGGGGGGGGGCAACATAAATGGATGGGAAAGGTGTGGGGTGGAGGGGGGAGAGGAGGGAGGGAGGGAGAGAGAGAGAGAAAGAAAGAAAGAAAGGACCAGAATCCGCCTTTTGATACCCAGCCTGGATAGTTTAGTTTGGGTTTTGTTTTTGTTTTTTTGTTTTTTGGTCTGATTAAAGGAGGAAGAGAAGGAAGAGTTTCCCATGGATAACCCAGATTTATTGAAAGGTAGCCGGAGACTGGAAAGTAGCGAACTACTGACACGAAAAGGTATTCCAGGCCCTGCTGGCAACAAAGTCACCCGTTTCTTTAAAGCAAACAATTGGAAGGAGAGGAGGGGTGAAAAAGGCCATTGCTACCCCGGGGAAAGAGGGGGGGGAGAGAGAGAGAGAGGGAGAGAGAGGAAGCAAATCCCGCGTGTTTAAATGGAGCACCGCTGGCACTCGTCCGCGCTCTTCTCTATTAGGACCAGCCACAAAACTAAACTCCAGCCCAAAACACATTTGTTCCCCCCTCTCTCGTTTTTTGTTTTTTTTTAAAGAGGGCACCTCCGGTACCTACCGGCCGAGAGTGACGAGAAGGGGGTCCCTTTCCGACCACAGCCCCGAGCTCTGGATTTCATTGCTCGAAATTACAGCATCCACCAACCAACCGCACATACACACGCAGGAGAGAGGGAGAGGGAGGGAGAGAGAGAGAGAGAGAGAGAAGAAACCTCGCAGGCGCCACGCGAAAGCTCTCCCTGAACAGGAGCGGAGGAAAAAAAAAATTGAGAAGGAAAAGCCGGGAGAAGAAAACGCGGCGGAGGAGGGAGGTAGCCCTGATTCCTAAAGCAAACTCTCTCACTCTCTCTCTCTCTTTTTTTTTTTTTTTGCCTGCCTTAGGGTAAAAGAGGGGGGGAGGGAAAAAAGGGGGAGAGGAGGGGGGGAAACACAAACAACTCCCCCCACACCAAAAAAAAAAAAAAAACCCACACGCACAACAACAAATCCACACAGAAAGCCGGATTGCAAGTTCAGAAAGGGGAGAAAGGGAGAAAAAAAAAAAGAGGAGCGCGAGCCGCCCCGTTCCCTCAATGGCAGTTTTTGGCCTCGCAAAGGATCCCCAACACTAACAAACACGCGCACGCATTGCCCCCTCCTCGCTCGCCCGCCCGTTCCAAGGAAATATACACCATCAACGCAATAAAAGCAAACGGGCACCTCGTTTTCTTCCATGCCCCTTGCTTCCCGTCGCTGGAAACCAACCTACACGCTGGCTGGCTGGGTCCTTTTCTTTCTTTTTCTCTCTCTCTCTCTCCTTCCTTCCTTCCTTCCTACCTTCCTCCCGCCTCCCTCTACGTCCCCAGTCCCCAAGCACTTTTAAGATTTATTATATTTTAAAAAAAACACCATTCTTCCGCCGTTCCACCCCAAAGACAAGCCGAGGAAGGTGATTCTCCCCTGCAAATGCACGTGATGCAAAGGTTTCTCTCCCCCCCCAGCCCCGCCCGGACCCAGACCCACAACCATTGTTTGGTGGGATACTTGTTAAAACACACACACACACACACACACACACCAACACCATCAGTTCTTTTTTGTTTTGTTTTGTTCGGTGCATCTTTTTCTCCCCCACGCCAGGGAAGGCTGCGTGTTTGGTTTTTTTTAAATAATCTGGAGGTGAGCATAGAGAGGGAGCGAGCGCGCATTAATAGGAAACTTCGGAGAAAAACCGAGCGTTCCCAAGCAAGTTTTGTTTGAAGAGATTATTTGCCAAGCGCTCTCCTTTACTTTTTTTTTTTTGCAAGCATGGTCTACTTCGCGAAACGCAGCCAACAGGCCTCGCACCGGTCGCCCTTCCCAGCCTCCCTCCCCACACGAAAACCACGAGTGAGAGTGGTTTGCCCTCCCCCCACCCGCGAGATTGAAGCTAAATTCATTTTCTTTCCAATAGGCTTTGCAGTTCATGCACACGTTATTTATTCCGTTTAGGCGCTCCTGGTTTAAGTCAGTGTGTGGCTGGCTGGCTGGCTACCTCGTATCACATAAACAATGCAGTTCAATTCATATTGCTAAGTTGTACCAAGTTTAAAATATATATACACTGGGATCAACATGAAAGAAAAAGAAAGAAAAAGCACTCTAAGAGGAAATTTTAACTTTACCTTAAATGGAACAATGTGTTCACAATATTCCAAGGAAATGTATTTTAGGGGAAGCAAAGAGAAAAGTCTTCTTGTAAAAGGTGCTTTATGATCTCGTGTGTATTTGACTCTCAAAAATAACGAAGTCCTTTTAACACGGACTCCGTCTCGTTGCAGAAAATACTCCACAATTATTATTATTTTTAAAAAAAGGAATGAAACCCCCGGAGGAGAAATTCAGCTTTGTTTTGGATTATCCACAATAAAAGTCAATTGCCAAGAAAAGTTCGTCCCACCTCAACAAAACAAAATTAAAAACCAGCCAAAAAAATAATAAAAAAGCACAACAGATTATTATTATTTTTTTTAAAAAAAGGAAAGTCCGGTCACTTTTTCCCCTCGTGTTCTTTCGTTTACAAACACATTCCCGGCTAGTAAGCTATTTTAAAAACAAAATCAAAATCAAAAATGATATCGGTTGCTGCACGCTCCCCACACCCTGCCCCTATCTCTCTCTCTTTTTTTTTTTAAACCAAGAGAAAAAGTCTTAAACTTGCTCCAAACTTTAGAAATCTCTCCTCTTTCTGACCATCACTACGGACTCCCCCACGGAGAAATTGATAGTAATATGTTCCCCTGAAAGATACATTGTAATCCATTCACATCCGGGCAATGCAGGGGTGCTTATAAAAGGCGGGGGGGGGGGAGAGAAAGAGAGAGAGAGAGAGAATAAGCTTCAGCTCCCGCCGCTGCACGTTGCTCGCTCCTGCTGCGTCGTCTATTACAGAAAATGACGCCGCCAGGAGGGAGGGAGTGCAGAGAGCATAGAGAGGTAAACAGCCAGGCTAGAAAGTCAGCTAAGATGGAGGAAACAGAACTCTGAAAGGGGAATATAACCAAACGTTGAAGGAGGAGCAGAAAAGTCTTGAGGTCTCTCTCTCTCTCTCTCTCTCTCTTTTTTGGAACGCGCACGCTCAGAGATACCTCCGAGCTGCGGCTCATTCAGCCCCTGGCATCGCGCAGTAGCAAGCTGTGGAGACAAGCAAAGGGAAAATGGAATCAGATTTTTATTTATTATTATTATTATTATTTTTTGCAGCCTGGCTTAACCTTTTCTTGCTTTGATGATTCCTTTCTGGCTTAGGTGTGGGTTGGGTTTGCTTTGCCTGAGGGCACTGAAGAGAGGTTGGCTCCCCAAGCCAAGTCCCAAAGTACCCAAAGTTGTAGGAGGACCTTCTTTTTAAATCTTCTCCCTCCTCATAGTGACCGACCCTGAGGAGGGTCAGACAGAGAGAGGGGAAGTGATTTTAAAAAGGTACCCAGGACTTCAAACAGGTAGCAGTCTGTTAACCGCTGACTGATCTTTAAAAAAGAAACAGGATCAACAGATGGATCATAGACCAAATCAACTCACTCAGATTCTCACTCAAGGCATAAATGTTGAGGTTGCAATTATCTTACATGTTATGCAAAGACCCAGCTTCAAAAGAAGGCTTTAATGTTGGAAAGGGGGCAAGGAAAGAGAAGGAAATGAAAACCAGCAAGCAAGATGAATGGACACCATTATAGTTGGTGATGAGTGCATTGTTGGGAGACTTGAAAGACGAAGTTAGGGCCAGATCGATCATGGAGAAAATCTATGATTGCTAAAAGGCAACATGAATTTGACAGCAAATAATCATAATCAAGGGAGGCTTTCCCATCAACAATCTAACTCTTGGTTCTTCATTGTAGCACCAAGGGCAGGGTGGATTTGATATAAATTGTGATTTAATTCAACTCGATTTAAATCATAATTTTTAAGAGCAACTGTCATCTCTGTCCCACAGCGGCTCCTCGTCTGACCTGCTGTTGACTCACCAACAGTCCCATTCACTTTAATGGGACAGCTGGTGATGCAGCAGTGACACAACAAAGTGAGGAACGTGGTGGGCATCAGGTGAATGGATGCCCGCTAACAGGCACTGACATGTTGGATCTGAAATGACAGGTGCTCTTTTTAAACATAAGGACTCATTCTTGCTGGTAGTTAGAATCTTTAATATTATTTTAAAACAAAATGAAGGTTTCCTATTTAGAGTGCAGGTTATCTCAGCTTGCAGAGCTTGGATTCATTGAATGGGTTTACCAAAAATGTAAATATTGCAGAATATACAGCCTCATGCTACATAAATAAGCTCCATTTCATGCTGAATAAACTAAATTATTAATGTATCTTAAATAAAAAAAACTATCTTTAGATAGATTTTTACTCCAAAATCATTTTATTAAAATAAATTTGATAAAAATAAAAAATAAAAATCTGATTTAAATTTTAAAAATCTTATTTTTAAAAAAATCATCTATTTTTATCCATCTCGATCAAGGGCCACAATTGCCAACTGATGGCATGTTTTTGGTTTCCACCAAGATTCTTACCTTCTTAATGTAGTGCCACCTTGAAAGGGCCTCTAGAGTCTGGATTTTTCTACCCACTTTCTACAGGTACCCAGAGTCTTCCCCAATACAAAGTCACTCGCCAGGTGTCTCAATGTCCATCATTCTGGACGTCAGTCCATTCTGATTTCTCAGAGCACCTCTACTCGGCCAGCTCAGGTCTCCACTGTCCGCCAGGATGTCTGGCGCTCCCCTCAGTTCCTAGCTTGCCCACTTGCCTGGGTCAGTTTGCCTCTGTCATATATGGTGCCCTTCTTTTATTTTTTATTTATTTATTTTTATTTTATTTGTCAAGCAATTATAAGATAACAGGTATAAGTATAAACATAGTTATGAATACATGAAATGGATACCTATAAGAAAAATAAAAAGAAACAATAGGACAGGGATGGTAGGCACGTTGGTGCGCTTATGCATGCCCCCTACAGACCTCTTAGGAAAGTGGTGAGGTCAATAGACAGTCTAAAGTTAAAGTTTTTGGGGTTAGGGGAAGAAACAACAGAGTCAGGTAGAGTATTCCAGACATTGACCACTCTGTTATGGTCACTCACTCACCCACTCCTCTGGTCAGTTCATCTCCACCATCTCCTCTCCCCTCAAAAGTCTTCCCACCAAGACCTGACAGAATCCCCTTCTTTTTCCCACCTCTTCTTCCCTCAGCTCCATGTCTAATTAAAAATTCTTAACTCCTCAATTTCTAACCTTGTCTGAGATAAATGCCCCCAGCCCTCACCTTTCAGTATTCCAGCCCACTCTCTCACCAAAAGTCTTCCCACCAAAAACCTGAGAAAACCCCATCTTCCCCAATTTCCCTCTATCTTCCTCCCTGAACCTACGGCTCCAGGGCTCCAGACCTCCCCGCTACATTAATGTCATATATAAAAAAATAAGAATGGAAGTCTAGCATGCAGTAGAGTGTCAGATTCAAGCACAAGCTATACTGTATTTTCAGTAAGTATGTGGTGCTACAAAGATTCCACAGACATTTTTAGAAAATAAAATGTGGATGGGTGCATTTGAATGCCTTCTCAAGATGAGTATTTTGCCATGATGGCTATTTTGTGTAATATCACACAATGATGATAGATTCATTTTGGTAATGGACCTAAAACCCAAACATGTTAATTTTCTTAATAAACTATTCATAAACAAAGTATTGCAGGTAATTTTAAATTCATACAATTTATGTTGATGTTGAAGTGACATTCAGAAGTGCTCTAATGGTCTCTCTCTGA